TTTTTTTTTTTTTTTTTTGCTAGAATGTCTGCTCCTAGCGAGCTACAGTTTCTGCCGTGACAATTGGCGTAAGCAGTCTTGTCTGATAAAAAAGTTCGGTTAAAATGCTAAAATCTGTTCTTGCCAATTAGCAAACCAGACATGTTGAGTATTGTGAAGTGCCAATACTAAATGTCCAAATTTCATAAAATACATGGTTAAGCTTTTATCAGGGAAAAAAGAAAATTCACGGAACTACATACGTAGGAATTACGTAAAGTGTGTTTTGGAACCTTTCAAAATTTTTTTCGTTTGGTGAACTGGTCTTACTGCCAATTGCTTTTAGCGATGGGAATGAAGAAAAAAGCGAGCTGAGGAGTTAAAATCATGCGTTTAGTATTTTAAAAAAAGAGGAGAATAGATAAACGTGTCCAAAATACCCGAAATACGGGCTGCTATAATTGCCACAATAAGAGCGGGAGGGCTTGTTGTGTGCGGCACACTAGCGCCACCAGTAGAGGTCAAAGGCTGCACATAAGGATCAGTCACATAACGCGGTCCAAGACGTCACTGTGACAGCAGGCTTTGAGAACAGAGATGTACGACTACATATTAGCGAAGCATTCTGTAAGATGTATCAGGAAAACACCTTGTCAATATGCTACGGTTTGGATCGTGGATTTAAAAAATTCAGGCTTTGCTGTTAGTTATAAAGATAACGGCGAAAACCCGAGAGGTACGTTTGAGTGTTGAAGTATAAATTTTTCCAGAAAATGGAAGTAAGAAATATTGTATCGCGGAAGCGCTTGATAAAAAATTAGGAATGACAGCAATGGGATATGAAAGTGCAGCTGTGTTGCTCTGGATGGGTCGCTTCAAAAGTTTGTGTCTTCAAATACCGTGGAGTATGACTTCACTAACTGTGTTATAGGCGAGTCACTAAAGCAGATGATTTCTCTTCAAGAGCTAATCAGCCAAGAGGAAGGATGTTCTCAGATCACTCGAAGGATGTGATGATAGATTATAGAGACTTTGGTCTTTCAACAAGGAGCGACTATTTTTGAGTGTTTCCGAAAGACACATAGCTAGCTGCCCGGATAGAAATATCGAATATGTAGTGAAATTAAAGTTATTTATGCAAGGGGAATTTTAGGTTTGGGTAAGAAGCAGTGATGGAATTTAAAAATTTTAACGAAATTATAGGCTCTCAGTCAGCGTGAGTGGTGAATGTAGAAGAATTTTAGGCCTTGAAAAGAATTGGACTGATGTACTCAACTACAGTAAAGAATGGCAATAAGGCCCTTTATTTTTTAAGGCAACAGGTATTAGGTAAGACGCCATGAAGGGAATTTCCTAAATCAGCAAGTAATTTTGATTTGTGTTTGGGATGGTCAGAAAAGTCAGTTTGAAAAGTGAAGACTTTATGGGATCTGTTGAAAAAGTGCAGTAGACCTGGAAAGCAGTAGCTTTTGAGAACGTGGATGTGGCCTTCAATACTCTCGTACATTGTTTGCGCTATTGAACATCGTGGCAGAACGTAAAGCGACAAATAAGGCTTTAGTGGAAAATTTTCACGCTTGTAAGTTTATAAGGGTTGCTTTCAGAGTAATTTTCTCAACGTCTTCGTTAAGAAAAGTCATTTAGACACCACTTTGCTAAAATCACTGGAAA